TATGTTATGGTGTATTTTTCTTTTATTTTTATTTCTTGTGTATCATGTTGTTACTTCTATTATCATTTACTTTTACTTCATGTGTTTCTTGTTGTTATTTGTGTTATTTTTTGCTAATAATTTTGTTATATTTTGCTTCTAAATATTATGATCGATTTATTTTATCATGTTATAGATGGCTTCAGTGTCGGCGATCTATCTTTAACTTTTTTGAGAGAAAGAAATAGGTGGTTTCATAGCACCTCATAATACGGATGAAGATAACTGTGTTGGCCACGACTGTGACTAGCACACCCATGCACGTGAGGCCCATTGCTCCATCTCTATTGACACCAGCCTTTGCATCCTTGTAGCATCCATTGTAGTACCATGATTAGACTCTTTTGAGGTGAGCCCCTTTGCATATGGAGCCTAGTGTGTCTCGAACCACCCAACACATGCACATCAAATATAGAAAGTTTTTGAAGTTATACTAATTAGTGTAATTTTTTTATTTCATTTTATAGTTACTAATATTTTTTATAGGTTTTTTACTTTTAGATATTTAATCCATAGGATCATGGAGAACATCAAAAGCAGTTATGATGCTCCATATTATTCAAGAAGAATATCTTGATTGATAATCAAGATAAGTGATTTATGGAATTTAATGTAAATCCTAAATAATATTGATTTATAATAAATTCAACTTATCCTTTTATAATAATTTTTTTTTAATATTTATGATATATATATATATATGAAATTTTGGCAGTAGTCTCAGCATCCTCACAAAATTTAGCTAAACTTTGAGAACCGAGGAGCTAAAAACTTACATTATAAATTTACTAATGTCCGTAAGAAGGGGCAGAGACCCATCTGGACATGGGAGGATACCTGGGCTATGTTATATTGAATTTGAGGCTCTCATAAAAAATGTAGAAAGAGGCACTAGGAACGAAAAAACTGGGCCTCAAAGTGAGGGTGAGATTGGTACCTCCTTATACATGAGTGCCTTGTTCTACCTTACCGAGTATAAGAGGGGGATGATAAAATTTATTCATTATAATAAATTAAACTTTGTAATTTTTATTTTCTAACCTTTTCATATGTTAACAAGGGCAAGTATTTGGATACGAGCTCACCACCACTAAGTTGTATGTCCACACATATTAGTATTAAGCGAACTAACAGTGAGTTAACAATAGATCTAAACATGTCCCCATATTAGTGTGTTGACAATAGATCTAAACAATTTTTCATATGCTAACTACTCTAACGATGGTGGAGTATGACATTCTCCCTCACCCAAGCTTGTAATGCCCTCATTGTGCTTTTTATGATACGGTTGTATCTTTTCTTTGCCACAATGCATCTTTATGTACCAGCTGACCTAACTATCATGTTATCCCTTCCACTAGATGAGCTATTTCTTATAATTTGGTGCCCTTTCTTTGTGATTAACTTGATTTGCAAGTATTTCATCCTCTTTCTTATCACAAGAAGTGATTATTGTTGTTGGTGGTTGCTTAGGGAATCCTCATGATTGATCTTCTTTTCTACACTGCACAAGTCTCTATTTTTTGGCAGCCCATGTTGTAGTCCTTCTTATAGTCTTAAGTTGTGACAGTCAAACCAACTCCCTTTGTTTGCTCCCAAATTTGATAAACTTGAAAAATGTTGGGCTTTTTTCCTTCATAACTGGTTGTTGGGAGAGAGGTGTCGTGCAGCAAGATTTCATAGCTTCCAGCTAAGTCCCATGTTCCAGCATAATTTGATATTTTTCTTTTGTTCTTGGTGGTGGAACCTTTAGTAACTCTATAAGTTAAACATTTTTAAACTATCAATTAGCGTTGCTACCTGCTTTGGCATGTCTCTTGGATCTTTGGTTCTTCATTATTTGAGTCGTAAAGAATATTTAATTAGCCCTCCTCTTCTTGCTGAATGCCCTTCGTGAATCGGATGGCTAATCTTAGCTCTTGCTCGTTAGTCCTTATTATTGGTACTAGATAAACTTGATTATCATCCATGATGCATATGCTATTGGTGAAGAGTATTAAGAATGACTTTACTTGATCAAAAAAGTCAAGCCCTATAACAACTTTGAAATTATCTTTTGGAATGAAAGAGAAGTCTAATATACCCAACCAAGCTCTAAAATTTATCTCTACTCTTTTGGATATTCCATGAATTTGTCTTACTACTGAATTGAAAACCTTTATGGAGCCTCCTCCTCCAATTAATTGTAGTTCTATCATTCGTGCTTCTTCGATGGAGATGAAGTTATGAAAAACACATGTGTCCATCGTTTCCCCAGTAATCTACCCACCTATCACCATCCCTACAATGAGTAACCTTTTTGCTTTGGGTTTTGTTATAGTTTTCATCTCATTCAGCAGTAGCATAGACCCCAATCATGCCCCCATATTACCTCCTCTTTCCTCTTCTTCATAATGACTTGCTAGTTGGGCATTTAAGGCTTTTATCTAAGGACAATCCATTGTCAAATGAGGCCCATCATAAAGAAAGCAATTGCTATATGACTAAATTTTGTTATCTTTTTGCTTTCCCTTGCCTTTGCTCTTGAATTAGGATGATCGTAATGAGTCTTTTTTTTTGTGTTGGCCCTTCTTTCCCTCATCTTTGACAAAGGCACTCTTCTTTTCCCGTGACATTGTAGACTCCTTTGCATAGCCAATCAAGCTCTTAGCAAAGGCAGTGGTAGTAGCGAGATATTAGACTCCACGTCTGCTAATTTCCATTTTTGCCCATGGTTGGAACTCATCCACGAATTTAAAGTGAGCGTCTTTGTCAAACATGCAGCGTTTTTTCAAGATTCAACCTAGTGAAATCTTTAGTGTATTCTCTATTTGAACCTATTTTTTTTAGCCTTCGCAATTGGGCTCTATTCTCATCTTTACTTTTTAGGGATAAAATAGTCTCTTAAGCCCTTTCTTGAAGTCATAAAAGATAGATACTGAGCATATATCTTCTTCTATGTCTCCTTTCCTTCTTCTCCACCATAGCATAACGGTGTTAGAGAGATAAAGAGTTGCAAATTGGATATTTGCGTCTTCATTAATAATACCCATGGCTCCAAAATATTGTTCAAGCCTTTATAAGAAGTTGTCTACTTCTTTGGCGTTGTGAGATTTTTGAAAACTCTTAGGCCTTGGCACTTCTATCTTTGGCTTCGAAAGCATGTTGATTGCTTGATGTGTTAGAGCTCCCTTGCATGATGATATATCTCCAAGCATGGACTCTGAACTGTCACATTTGTTGTTCATCTCTTCTTCATGAGGATTTTGTACATTAGGATCTCCCCCATTAGGTCTTCATGCATCTTCGCCAATTGGTTTTTTATGAATTTCTCCAGTTAGAGCATTATACCTCTCATCGTCGAATGGATAGTGATGTCCTTCTCCTCAAGTCCATCCGCCATTTGGCCTAGATCCTCTATATGGTCCACCATGCCATTCATAGCCTCTTCTACTCGAGTAAGGCACGAATCAATTGTATATATGAGCTACTTAGACCTCCTATGTGGTTCGAATGCAATAGGATTTCGTTGCTCCTCACGACCTCGTGCCTGTTGAGATGTCTCCACATTTGTGACATTTTTCTCCACGACATGCTCTTTGAGTTTTTGCCCATTCCTTTATCATAAGCTCTAATACCAACTATCATGGAAAAACTACTTTCAAGTGACTCGTACGGCCTTAGTGCTCTTCCTAAGCACCTTTCCTAAGAATTAAGTTAGCTTCACCATTGCATCACTTGGACTTGGATCAACTAAACTCTCTAAAAAATAAGTAAGGAGGGGGAGTACTTCTATTTATAGTCCTCCCCAAGACCTAGGAAAGTCTCAAGGTTGCATTAAAATAAAGTAACTTCTAGATATCTCTACATTGCCTTTTAATATATACATGATTCTAGAGTTTTCTAGTCTATTTTAGAGTTTTCCCTGAAGCTTTCTTCTTCGAACATTCTCTAGAGTGTGGTGAAACCTTCTAGAGTGTCCTGAATTGGTTTCCTTTTTCTAATCTTCTCTTTTTTCTCATGGTTGGCTTGCTAACTACTTCAAAGATGGAGTGTGACACTCTACTCATAGGGATTTGCTAAGAGACGCACCACTATGTCTCCAGCGAGAGGACGTCATCAAGTGATGATGAAATCATCAGGAGTGTGACAACATTTAATGAGTTGTAGGCCCTCTTCTCTACTGAGCTATTTCAGATTGAATTGATGCTAAAGTCCTCAATTCAGAAGACGGTGGATGCTTGGGTGGAGGAGAGGGCCAGGGTGGTAGAGCGGATTGAGCAACTGCAATGCAAGGCACGTTGGCATGGCAATCAAGCTATAGTCTAAAAAGAGGAGGAGAAGGTGCTGCAGGGGCAGGATGAGTAGTTTTTTACTATTTCTATGTGTGTAGGATTGATATGTACCTTCTATATTTATCCTGCAGATATTCTTGTATTAATTAGATAACTGTATTGGACGATTTATTCATATTGATTGTTATGTTTATTATAATTTTTTTCATTACCGTTGTCCCTTTGTTCTCTCTTACACCATTCATAGATGTGATGGATATAGTTGTAATTTAATTTTTCTTTTTTTGGCAAATATTATCGGCAGAAATATTGCCCGGTAATCAACCATTAATTCTAAAGTTAGCTCGCTGATGGGGTACTCATTAATTTTCTACTACCAACTCCGCCGCTTATTCAGTCAGAAAAACCTCACTGTAGAACATCAGCCATAAACTCACCTGTAAAGCTTTAAAGCAGAAAATTATAGACCAATGATTATTTTTTCGTTTTCATATCTTGGATGAAGTTTCTCTGGCGTGTGAAGACATTGCTGACATGACATTGTGATCAGCCACACAGATAGCATGGCTCGTTTTCTTAAATTTTGTGACGTTGGCATTTAAAACATTTAAGAAATGGTGAATAGGTATAGGATTAAGACATTAATGCTGACATGCGGTGAATGAGAAGTTCATGACTTCGACGTACCTGATTTCTGGTGAGGCCGCTTTGCCTGGCTAATATATGCTTATCAACATCGCTTGGGTACCTGCAAGTTGGCTTATTCAGTATATTATTTCAATAATATTTACTCATGGTTGAAACAAAATGAAGTGATCAATGATATTTTCTCAGACAAGTTTTTCGGCAGAAGCTTTGGTTGCATTTTATTTATTGTCATGACTAATTTTAATTGACATAAAATTTGATTATCTGTGTTGGTAAGATTGAATTGGTGTATGACTAAGCTAAATTTCGTTGAAAAAGCACTCATTTATTTCGATATTATAAGATAAGCTGAAAAGTACTCGACAAATTTTATTAATCTAATCCCCCACTTCTCTTCATAAACTTTCAACAATCTTCATTATTGACATATCCTTCTCCTTTTACGTGAAACTTTGGTTAATTTGGATGAACTGAAAAAATTACTATGTAATCAAAATTAATGACTGAAATCATATGATAATCAATGGAGGTGATGACGTTGCATCAATACAATGACAGTAGTATCCTGCTTCTACATTTATTGACAAGAGTCACCTTGTATATAAAATCTTATATATACATATATAAACATGTAGGGAGTCAATAGCAACTTATTCACCCAAGATATATATATATATATATATTATGGTGTACTAAGTTAATAGACAGGCAGATCAGCTGTCATTATCACATCTTTACAACAAAAAAAAAAGGACAATCTTGAAAATATATTGAATCCAAGACCACTGCAATTGTTAATAATTGCGTATTTATGCAAGTAAATAATGAGCCAACACTCACCCAAATCATGTATCGATCACTCATTAATATACATCCGTGTCATGCTGAGTAGCATGGATCAATGCAGGCGGTATATATGCAAGTACGTGTTTCAGCAGACACCTTATTTAATTTGGCACAAAAAAAATGAGTAGACCAACTTATACGTATGGTATAGAAATATCTAAATTGTCTCTTTTGATTGGAGTAAATGGAAAAGAATTCATAAATCCAATATTACATATTACGATTGACGAATTCGAAAATTTAAATTTTGATTTTGTTAAATATCAATTGAGACTTCGAGTTATTTCTTTAGCTAAATAAGAAATTGCTTTTGCTAACAGCGAATGATTACTTTACATATATATATATATATATATTATATATATATATATATATATATATATATATATATATATGAAATAGTTTTTCGGAGATACAACTTGCTTCTCTGATCAATCAATAATGAATCCTTTGAGAAATTTGAGTTGTAATAGTGTCTAAGAAAATTATTCAATAGTCTGCAATCACAATATAAGTTTAAATATGCGCCTTTTCAAAAGAAAGTGAAATGACAACTGCTGGCTTTTAAAATAGTCAGACAGCCATTCAAATATTAAACTTCGCTCATACATTACCTTACAGTTCTGCTCATATGCATAAGCAAAACATGTAAATGCATGCATCCCTAAACCAGTGTTATGTCTAGGGTGACATAGATTATGGATGTCTTAATTAAGTGGAGTTTTGATTTCCCCCTCATTTACAACGGGGAGAATTGTCCAGATGGCAGTACCGGCTAAGTTATTGTGCACAGAGGCATATTATAATCTAATAAAGAATATTCTGTCAGGATGGCCAATCACCGACGGTCATGTAGCTGGCAGTTGATGTCGCCGGCAATTGACAATCCGGACGTGCCGTGATATTTTCTGTATTTTCAAAGATCTTTCATGTCAGCCAAGTATAAGAAATTTTTCTATTAGTTCCAATTAACGTGATATTGATACGACAAAACAATTAGCAGGGAAAATAAAAGACAGACCAAATTACGCGCATGATTTTTCATATTTACCTAATGCCAATACGCATGTGACATGTTCCAATTAAAAAAGAGATCTACAGAAACTTACGGGTGAAGAAAATGGTCGAAGAGCCAAGCACGTAGAACCGAAACCGAACGTTCAGGAAGGCCTCGCTGAGGCCGCCATGGCTGCTGATCCATGAAAATGTCACGCTGTTGAAACACCCTCTTCTCTCTAAGCCAGTAGTGGTCGATCAGCTTCAATCTCGGCGTCTCTCCTCTGCTTATTCCCGGCTCTGTAGTTGGTTCTAGCCCTGCAACCGCCTTCCTCATCGCTTTCATTTGCCCTACAATGCCGTCTCTCAAGCATCTGAAATGCCTCGACATAGCCTTCGAAGCCAGCGCAAGATACACCGTCGCTGCACCTTCGCCGGCCACCGCTTCGAAGGAAGAAGCCACCGTAGCCATTTGCTCGCGGTATCGCCTATACCTCCTGTCCAACTTTTCATGCAGTAATTGTGAGATATTTGTTAATATAACAACTTATATAATTATTATAAAAATACAGAGATATGTATGTGAATCCTCTTAATAATGCTCTCTTTAGGATATAACTGATGAATAATGCTAATTTGCTTTGGTGCAATTTATGGAAGGTGATCTTTAAGAAATTAATGAAGTTTTAATAATTAAATGGTTTATGTTGATATTTATATTTTTTTGAATATAAGTATTTCATTACAATACAGATTTATGAAGATAGATCTTGATGAAAAATTATTGATCATAAACTATTCCTTACTAGCATTTCCTATAAGAACGTTTTGTGACATAATTTTCTGCCTCAAATTTTAACATTAAATTAATTATAAGACTATAAAAAATTTACAAATTTATAGTTTATTGGAATTTGTTATATTTTCTATTAGTTATATGTTATGATTCAGTGGCACAGAAGGACTCATTGAATACAAAATGAAAAACTAAGATAAATAGTGAGAGCAAAATTAGAGGAAAAAATATTGCATCAGGACTCCTAACGTATATTGAGTTCAGAATTCAATTGTGGAGTGCCCACGTGTGTTAGTATATTGCAGGGGGAGCCCACTTAACACGTGGCGCCACACCATTGGACTCCGAATGCATTCAGAGTCCTGATGTAATATTTTTGTCACAAATTAGAGAGGGTGGAGAGGTAACTCATCATTTACTTGAGCTTAAGCTTCATTAATGAATCAACTTAATTAAGTTTGAGGTGAAGTTAACATAAATATGCTTTATTAGCTCAGCCAGCTCAAGATAGACAATGGAAAATTCTCTTATAAGAACATACATTTCCATAATGAGAGATCATAAGCCTCTTTCTAAAATTTTGAGGGGCATTTACACGCATACCACACAATTCTTAGATATTTACATACCTAACAACTGAACTTTTTATATTTAGATGCATAACATTTAAATCATTAACATCACATAAGAAACCCACACTCACTAACACATTTCAAAAGTGAAAAACACCTTGTTAATAGGTTTTTAACACGAAAGTGTTATAATTATAAATATCAAACATTATGGATTTTTGTTAATAATTGCTAATTTTTTCAAATTTTAAATACTAAAAAAAAGATATAGTAGTAATTTAAAATAGAACCAACAAACTATTTTAAATTTATTTTTAGGACAATGACATTGACATTTGAAGATATTATTACTTTTATCTCTTTTAATAATTTATTTTTTATCTGTGATATCAAAATACCTCATAGGTTCATCAGACATTAAACTTTATACATTATTTTGACTATTATGATATAAATTTCAAATGAATAAAACATGTACCTAGCTTAATGGCAAAAGTTCACCTAATTATTGCTTGAACAATTGCTCCATAGACTAACCCCCAGGACATCTATTATCATGCTAAAACATATATATTATATATTATAAGCCCCCCATTTCCTTTCCTTATTCTTTATGACATAGACTTAATACTTCCTTCATCACCAAATTCAATGCTAGGTAAACAGTTGAGACATACATGAATTATATAGTTCAATGTTATACACTTATAATTGCTCTTCTCCTCATATTTTTTCCTGGTCTTGAATTTATAATGGATAAAGCAAAAATCATATGACAGGAAATAAATCCTTGCTGTACTGGTAAGAATGAAAAGACATTTCCAATTAGGCATCTTATATAGTGAAAATTCACTTCAACATTCAGCTCATTCTTAGAATTTATTTTGAAATGTATATTTCTTACATAGAACTCATCATATAAATTTCTGAAAATACTATGTTTCCAACTTCCAAGTTTTTATATAATATGAAACTGGTATTATTTTTTGTATCAAATGCTAAATTGGACCAAATAAAATAAAATAAAATAAAATAAAAATAAAGATATACAAAAATTAAATGACTCTTAACCTTAATTAAAAAAAATGTTCGTTCCATAAAATTTTAATTATTATTTTTAATTATTTAAAAACTTTATTTTACATGTTTTGGAATATTTAGCCATGTTATTGTTATTTTTTGAATTTAAACCATACAAAATATGAAAGATCATATTTCTAATTAATTGTTTTGGGTTAAGGACCATTCTATCATTGTTGGCTTTGACTTTCACTCTGAACATCGAAGTTAAGCATACAAGCTTTTAATTTGTGGCAATTATGACGAAATTCATTCCATGTCCAGCAAAAATAAAAAAAATAAAATAAAAGCATTCATATGGCCATTTACTATTTCATATTCATTTTTTTTTTAATTTTTTCTTACTACACAGTAGATAGATTCTTAGGTTTTTTGTCCTTCCCTAGAGGGTGACCCTTAACAGCTCTGTGATCATTTCCTTATTTGCAGGGAATAGCACTGCGAAACTATGGAAGGCAATAGGAATGGATGTTTCTAACTACTGGCCCTGAAAAAGTAATTTGTACTTTCATCAGCTAAGCTGAACAGTTTTGGCAACTGTAGCTCCACCATTATTGCACCATCTAACTCAAGCCTACGTTCATCTTTC